TTTCTAAAGGAACAATAATGTTTAGGTTTGTAACACGGTTAGGATGTTTTAATATAACATTTGAACTACAGATGCAAATTTCTTCAATAAAAAAAAGTTACATTTTCACTAAGTAATTTAATGTTAACTTTCGTGCGTCGCCATCGGAGTGCGCCACTGTGTACAGCCTAGCGTTCTCAATTCTTGTCTAAATAAAAAAACCAAGTATATATTTAATTGTCATATAATTTTACCCTATGTAAACCAAAAAAAATTTTTGTAAGTAGAAAACTTCAAATTCTGTACGACTTTGAAGAAAAAGTAACGATTTTCTCGAGGCAATATCCATTCGTTTATGCAAAAAATAAATAGTTTAAAGTAACTTTTTATTAATTTTTGTGGTTTACCGAGGATGGTTGACTATTATCTAACTAAAAAACTTTGAACGAAGTTGATAGGTCAAGTAGTTTTTTCTTAATCGTGTACACAAAATTAGAGAACTCCGATGGCGACGCACGAAAGTTAACATTAAATTACTTAGTGAAAATGTAACTTTTTTTTATTGAAGAAATTTGTATCTGTAGTTCATATGTTGTATTAAAACATCCTAAACGTGTTACAAACCTAAACATTATTGTTCCTTTATAAAAAAATTCTTAAAAAGACACATTATTTTCGGCCTTCTAAAGTAGGCTCCCCCCTTAAATATGTTGTTTCCCCCCGATTGCAATTCAGATATTTAATTTTCCCAAAAGCCTATCATGAATCATTATCAATTAGCACTAGCCACAATGTGCTGCAACAATCACATATATGTAGGTCGTAAAAAACCCAGTTGTGCCCTTGTTTTCATTACAAGTGTAATCTCTGTGAAACAATAGCCGCTTAAATTAGCAGGTAATCTACCGAAGCAGAGCTAACCGAGGCTGTCGGCGCAGCTGCGCCTAAATCCGATCACAGATTTCGAGCACTCGCACTCTCGATCGAGTGTCGCGCGAGGCATGCAAATCGAGTCGCGGCGCGATATGCGCCCGCGGGAATTCACGCGCCTCGACAGCTGCGACGGTTTTCGGTGACTCCGAAACTGTTCGCGAATTTTCGGTGAATCATTTATTCGCAACGGCCAAAGAATCTCTGCTGCATAATTCAGGAAACGCCCAAGTTCGCAGAGGCGACACGAAGCGAGATATACAGCACGCGCATACGTGTATGTCGCGTACGGAAGACGCGGACGAAAGGATTAACGGACAATGCGGAGCCGCGGATAATCGAGGCCGGTATCAAGGGAATAACGGGAGAAATCTCGGGATCAATCTTGGTTAAATGCTACGAGCGCAAGTTGGAAGGGTCGGATAATGATGCTTTGAAGATTTGCCCCGTGCACTTTGGATGCGGATTATGCATTAGCTTTGATTGCATGTATATAAAGGATCTACGTTAATGTTTAATGGCATGGAATATGTAGGACGTATTAATCCCGAATTACTTTGACGCATTAAATTATTACGAAACTTGTTTTCATCTTTCTAATTTATATATAATGTGTGCGATACGTAGAAATATATATGATTTTCAAGTCGTAAAGTAATAGTGTGGCGAGACGGGACGAAAAAGGAGGCGTACGCCCCGTAATTGGTCGAGCCGCGAAGTAATCCTTATCATTTTTTAAATATTTCGTACTTAAATTAACCGCGGGATTAATTTGATGCTCATTTGATTATGCGCTTTCACGCGTTTAATTTACATATTTACGATTTATCCGTCCCGCCCTGCGTTGAAGAAAACGTAAAATATGGTATTGTTTAATTGAAAAGCTGGATAAATTAAATATCGATAAAAGAAATTGAATTTTCCCTCCCGTGTGATAATAGACCGTTGTTACGATTCGCGTTCCAAGGTATCAACGGCGCATACATCGCCGTCGTGGACTTAGTAGAATTACGCGAAATGCTAGAAACTGTATGACTCATCTCTAGTTACGTGCCTCATTGCTATCTATAAATCTACGCGAAGGCACGCCTATTGCATTCTGTTTCGTCATTCTGAATCACAGGGGCCCGTCGCACGCGGATCGCGAATTTCACGAATCATTGCGTCGCGAATAATTACCAGACAAGATCACCTGTCTCTGCCGATTTAAATAATTTGCACAGTGATATACGCGCGTTCCCTTTCCCTTTCACCAAGTTGAGTGGAGTTATGCCGCGAGATGCGCCGTTTGCTCCCAAGAACAATGCCTCGAGGACAAAGTGGCTCGAACAAAACGCGGCGTAACGAGATACGCGGTGGAATATTTCGTGCGCGAGGTGATACAATTCGTTGCCGAGGCATTCCGCGGCATTCTGAGCGGAATCGCATTGTGGCTCAAAGTAGAGACGGTAGAGGCGATTAGATCACAGACAAGTTCACGATGTGTCGCGACACGAGGTAGGACGAGGCGAGAAACTCGCCCGTAGGTAGAGCTTTCTAGTATTTAGGCACACTAAATATAGCGCGGACTCGGCTGTAAATCCCAGGCCCCGCGGTCTCTCTCTCTCTCTCTCTTGCAACCGTTGCGACGTTTCTTTCGGACGAACGTGTTGCCCGACGACGAAGGTTGTTTGGGCATCCGTCGCGGCGATGGACGTGCTCGCGACGTAAAGCGTTGGGTTTCTCTGCGACACTTTCAGTGATTTCTCAGACGAGCAAGAAACGTCAATTTAATGACAATCAAAAATATATCTCATCTTACAGACGTTATTAATTCTCCTGTTTGTACTGATAAAGGCCTGATGGCAAGTCGAAACGTCTACATATTGTGAATGTTTTAATATATAAACACAGCGCTAACAACCGGCGTTGGCTCTTTCGCCTCTATTTATTTATATTAAAAGATATATGCTTTAATATAAAATAGCAAAATAATATTGTTTTAAAAAGTAAACAAGAGTCCGTGATGCGTGGGACTCAAGCGAGAAAGAGTGTATTAAAATTGGTTAATGATGAACAATTATACACACCACGTTATATGAAATATAACAAAATAAAAGTAAATTTATTAATAATTTCGTACGTGTAAATAAAATATATTATTTATATTTGTATATTTTTAATGATATAATTTTTTGTAAATCTTTCCTAATTGAATACCGTTTTATTTTCGATTCTTGCGCGAGCGTTTAGCAAAGTGTCACTTTGGAAATTTGTTGTTTACAGGGACTTTAAACAAATATTTTAACGTGGCCGTGTCCACCTGGAAAAGAGATGGTCGTCTGTTCCGGAATTATCCTATCAGTCGAGATTCGGTTTCAAAGGGCCATCGTGCTTTTTGCGCAGCGTGAATTAACGGCGCGGTCGATGGAGAGCCACGGATTTACGGGACGGATCGATCACGCCGACTTTTAAACACAGGTCTCGCGTGCTTTTTGCGGCAAGAAAATTGTTCGAAAAGCCGACGCGCTCGTTAAATCGCGAAGAATTGTCCGTCGCAGCGGCGGATCCTCTCCACGAGCGATTTATTGTGCGCGATAGCGGGATTACGGGAGTCGGGAAAGCATCGTTCGTATCGTAACGCGAACGTTACAATAGTAACGTTACCTATTGATTTTTATCACGAGTAATTGTCGCGTTGCCGCGTGCGATCTACGTTCAATTTACGGGGGGGGATTTGCCGTTTCCGGCGGAGGAACTTGGAAAGGGTGGAATAAATGTGCCTTTAGATAATGCGTCCCGCAATTTTTTACCGCGATCATGTTTGCTTAATGCGAGTGTCTTATCTCTCGTTTGCATCATCCTGCAATCAATAATACTGATGCCGTGAGAGATAAGGAGAGAATTCGCGATTTAATCGTAATAAAAAGGAACAGAAACAGTCAATTGTCGGTGGGATACAAATTTCTAATGCGAAGGATGTGCGGGAGGAATGAGATAATCTTCCTATTGTTTGAAAATATGAAAACCGAAGGTGTAACCGCGTGAATCTCGGAGGCGAATTAATCTTATTATTCCATTAACGGCGTAACAAATTTTCGGCCGCTACCGACGTTTCTCGCAATTGAGAGAAATAAATGACCAGATTTCCTAGAGAGAACGCCGCGGCTGATAGGTAGAGAGGCTGCGCCCGAAATAATCGAGTTCTTTTCATTCGGCAGCCCCCGTTATCTTTTTATTGCACCCACGGCGCAATCGAAAGCCCGCGCCGCTGTGCATTATCCTTCCTAGATTGGGGGCTGCACCCCCAACGCATTGTACACGATAGCTACGTACTGGCGGATTTACACTGTCAAAGGTATAATTGCGTCGTTTGAGAGCAGCGGATTCCCGAATTGGAATATTCCTCTTTTTTCATAAAGATTGCGTGGGACCGTTGATTTTGCGCGTCTGTTCGGTTTTCTACCCCCCCTCTTTTTTATGCGATATTTAATCTACTCTCTTCTTTCCATGCGTTACATCTCGCTGGAAGTCCTAATCTTATTACGCATATTAAAGCCATGATAATATTAGCAGCCGACCTGTAAAATGACACGAAATAATCAAAGGGACTCGTTCTCCTCCACTTACATTCAAATGCCAAAATTATTTCCACTGCAATATGAAGCGCAAAGCTAAATGTTACATCTTCGGAAGTATCGGTATTACGCGTTTTGGGAATGCTCTCGCGAGAATGCACATTGGCTGGCGCGCGCTTGTGAATGCATCGCGGCGCTAGCTCATGAATAATTACAATTTATAGGATACTCGCCGCGATGCACCCGCGGTCGAAAGGGTTCTCTCTCTCTCTCTCTTTCTCTCTGTGATCCCCTCTCATGAAACCGACCTTTCGTCGCAGGTCACGGAGGGAGCTTCGTAGCAGCCCAGTGCCGTAGCATGCCGGCGAGCTGCAGCGCGTGGTGGTGCGCCTCTGAGAGACCGCGTCGATCGGCGTCGATCGCCGCCATCTGCGTGGCTAGGCACCAATTCCTGGAGCATCGTCGTAGGAGAAGAAGAAGAACGTGCGATCGTCGTCGTAGCACAGGAAGCACGGAGCTCGATACCAGCGACCGATGAGCGCGGGGGGGGATGGGGGCTCGGCGTTGGGCCCACCTGCTCGGCTGCCGGGGGCCCAGCCGATTGCCGCGACCCCCTACATCGCGACCCCCCCCAACGCCGGCCAGCAGCTTAACGTCGGTGGCGCGACGGATGCGAGCATGCAACCGCCGCCGTCGCAGACGGGCCCCGGGGCCGCCGGCGCAGCCTCCAAGTCGGCCCAGAAGAGGCCCGTCAGACGGGGGGGTAAGCCGCCACCCGACAGACCTGTACGGGCGCTCTTCTGCCTGGCCCTCACGAACCCTCTTAGGAAGATGTGCATCAGCGTCGTCGAGTGGAAGTATCCTTTTGCTCTCGCGTGCTTCTTTCGTAATTAGCGCGATAATTGCCGGCCTCCGATGGCAGAGAAATTAAATATCAAAGTTCAGAGATCGCGTCCGATATCAACGATATTTGCGAACCTGACATTAATAACGTTGCGTTTGACATTAAACCGCTACTCTCCAGATTGACCCTAATTCCACGTTCGGCGCGATGTTGATACTAGGGTCAATATCGGTGACAATCTGCGACAAAAGGGTTAACGCGCGAATGATCACCCTGCTGTTTTCCTTAATCGCCTCGATTTTATCAACGTCATTTCGCAGACCCTTCGAATGGCTCATCCTTATGACGATATTTGCCAACTGCGTCGCTCTGGCCGTTTACACGCCGTATCCTTCTGGCGATTCCAATCTGACCAACCAATACTTGGTGAGTATTTCACAGGATATATTTTCTACTTAGCTAGTGCATAATTGTCACTCTCGTTTTTAAGAATGTTTAGTGTCTCCCGAGATTTTTATGTCTAACAACAAAATATTCCTAACGTGCACCTGTACGTGCAAAAATAGAAACCTCGAAAAGGGCTAAAAATAATCGCGAGCGAATAGCAATCATCTCGTTATAAATGGCGCCGCCGGGAATTCCTTTGTGCGACTTCGTCGAATGTGAAATAAAGCAATTTTACTGATTGTAATATGTACACATATATATGTATATACACGCGCGCGCGTATGTGTGTCTAAATCGAAGGGTGCCTCCTGCAACAATAAGAGTTCCGTTCAACGAACCACACAAACCTCTATCGAGTTATCGATTCCGAGACGGCATGCAGGGTTGGTGGCATGAAACTTATTCGAGCTGAAAGTTCAATAATTGTTCAATCTTGCTCAACATCGGCGTGTATGCTGTCCCGGCGCACTATAATCGGAAAACACAATTCACATGTAAGCCGCTTTAGGACAATTAATCGAGACTATTCCCCTTGGACACTTCGAAAGTCACTTATAATTACCGATATTCGGAAGCTGCTCGAGGCCCGCGAGCTTCGCAGATAAGACTCACGGATATTCGTGGTAAGCGACAGAACTTACATAGGGATTGTCCATTCGCCTGTACGATGTACAGAGAGGCTGCTCGATAACAACTCGAAATTCAGTTTTGCATCATATTATGCGCGTGCTAAAGTGGGATCGCGTCGTTGTCGTGCCTTGCTAAAGGGTGTGACTTCGTTTTGCGTCACTCAAAGGGCATCCCTTGCGCTAATTAATACCGAGAGGAAACTTTGCTGAGATTAGGCCAACGGGAAATTCGCGGAAGGCTACCTGTGTAAACTGTGACAGCTTAACGTTAATTATCGAACGTAAAAATATTGATTTGTACGAGCTCATTAATTCAACTTCAAAGGCAGCTTTTGCCAAGATTGAGAGGGAGAACAAATATACTTCTAGAACGGTCAAGTGAAAGACGTAAAAATTGTTTCCAACTTGGAGTACACGATGGTACGCACACACATCTGACTTTGAGACAGTTGACATTGTGCGTTCGAAGTATATTTAAATTTTTAATAATTAAACAGCAAATTTCTTTTTTAAGAATTTTTTCCTAGATATTAAAATCTTGTAAAATTGTGTACTCTATTAGTTGATTTTTTACATAACATTTTTCTACACGTTGTCGCTCTCTTAGCGTCCCCGGAGAAACGGGAAACGAGGAACAACGCCTCTGGGAGTAGATTCGAATTCAGTCGCAAACTCTAAAAAGTCGCAAATCTTAAGATCAATCTCTAGTTCTTTAAAAACTTTTTCAAACTTGTCCGCCCGACTCAATCGAGGTAAAACTTCGGCAACTTCGCTGTCTTTTATCGCCACGAGATTATGAAACTGTATTAGAAATTCGCAATATGTGTAGAGTTCCGGAGCACATGAACATTTTCATCAATATCTATTATTTCTTAAGTAATTAAAAATGTAAAATGGCATTGAGCATTTATTACAAACACTATCTTTTAATTATGAAGCCAACAATGTCGACCGATCGTAATATTTAATTATAAAATAATTACAATTTTACTGTTAAAAGGATGCCGAAAGTTCAACTACTTTCTTTCTCTCCCTTTCCTCGCAAGTATTAACTTACTGTAGGTAGAGTAGCAGTTGCGAAATGAATACGAGATTTGCGGGACAAATCGAACCAGTTTAATCTCTCACGGGCGATAAAATATTCGTTAGTCGAACGCGATCCTGCATTTAACATCGCAGCGACGAATCTATTATTCGGCAAGTACACTCGCGTAATATCTACCTTCCTGGCCTTACCACCTGCTCTTCTCATATTTCGCTCGTAAAGCGGACATGTGTATTAACCCTCGTGTGACCAAGTAGAAAATTGCGCGCGGTGCAGATGCAATACTGCAATGCATTTTCTAATGAAAAATATCACCGTAATAACGAAACGTATATGAAAGCATGATTTGAAGAAGAGATAGATATGTAATTAATTAAAAGGGATTAATTCGTGTTTATGGAAACGGACTTTAGAGAATAAAGCTGACGAGACAGATGCAAAATTTTACCGCATTAAGATTCCTTTTCCTTTCATGTCGCCTCTCGAATAACGTTATTTAGTCTATCAAAATCAATTGTGACGAGTTATTCTTATTCCCATTAAGTGTAGAGTTGAATAAAGCAACGAGTGGCATGTACTTTTCAGTGAAAAAAAACACTACGAGGTAAACGCTTGAAATCTGACGAGAGTAAGTCCTCGAGTTCGTCCAAAGTGCTAGATAATATTCACGCTCATAAGAGGATGACAAATTCGCAGTGGAGCAAGTAATAAAGTATACGAGAAGGCAACGCGACCGCCATTGAAACTTTCTCGAAAGGGTTCCTCATATTCTACTTTATATTCCACCTCGCGTCTTCAAAGTGATGTAACGGCGCCCACGTGTCACGCATCGGCGAGCAACACGGGCGGCCGGCGGTATAATGCGCGCTCGAGCCTATTTCAGCGGGTCAATAATCGATCGATTTTGGAAATTAAACGTAATGGATGCCGCGCAGGGGGAAAGGAGAGAGAGAGAGAGAGAGAGAGAGAAAGAGAGAGGGTTCGTGTCCTCTCTGTGGTCGCGTTCGCGCCTTTCAGCTTCCCTTTTAACATCCACCACCCCTGTGCGCCTTCTCCGCGCAGCGGCTTTTTTCTCTACCTCTGATGTGTACAAGCGAGCGCTCTTCAGCCTTATTTTTAACCCACCGCTTCTTCCTTTTGTTTCGCCTGTTTTTCTCACCAAGGCCTGTGCCGTTCTTACCCTGCCCGCCGCCACCATAACGTCATGCGTCGATTAACCCTTTTGCGCGACAGCCGGCGATGCTACTATTGTCTATGAGTCATGCCAAGGAGCGATCGAGATCGAAAAACTGACCCTACACTTGCCAATGTACTTCATAAAAATTTTCTCTCTGAATAAAATATATTACTGCACTCTTCACATTTTGTTACACTATATCATTTCCTTCTTCATAAGTTCTTGTATATTCGTTGAAATTACAACAAATCTCTATGCGTCGTACGACTATCAATTTTATCATTTTATCTTGCATAATCATCTGTTATTGAAAAAGAAGATACACGAAGACAAGTATTAAAGCTCTAAAGTATTATATAACTGACATTAAAAATAATTTCCGTCCTTCAGCTAGTCAAAATTTAGATTTTGTCAAAGTCCTTGCTAGCAGTTGCTGGCCTAATCAGGGTGAGAGATTTTCCAAGGAAGAAGAGAGCAACAGGTTACGCAATTTGCGTTCGTAAAAAAATAAATTTCAAGTCCCTGGAAAAAGTATCGGTGCGTGTTGACACTCCTTTCCCCAGGCAGTTTAATAGCGATCACGTTCTTGTCGTAACTCGCCGTAATCCAACTGCAACCGCAACGCTCGTGCTTTAAATGTTTAACGAAGACGTCCGTGTACGTGCGCGTGAAACATTGTCTTCTCGGTCTCGTGCGTTTTTAATTGCCGCCCGCCGCCATTTGTCTCCGCCGCTTGCTTTAATTGCCACCTCCGTTGACGCCGACGTGTCGCAGGGTCAAAATTGCGAAAGTGTCTTATCGCTCGACGCTTATCAATCAAGGTGGCCTCTTTCCGGCGCTAAGACGGCAGCGCACGGGAGGCCTTTCTATTTCTAACTTTCCTCAAAGGCTCTTTTAGAAGGCGATCGATCTACGCCCGTGCATCTCCCTTCATATTTTTCACGGCGATTTTTCCTCTGGTGTTGCAGGAGAAGATAGAGTACGTTTTTCTTGTGATTTTTACGGTGGAGTGCGTGATGAAGATCATAGCTTACGGCTTCGTCGCGCATCCAGGAGCTTACCTCCGCAACGGCTGGAACTTGCTGGATTTCACGATAGTCGTGATTGGGTGAGTACATTAACCTTGAAACCCCACGTTTTTCTCCCCTTCATCTATAAACGGATCTAGGCCTTCTTTGGATAGACTTTAAAGCGCAATCGATTGAATCTCTCTGTTGGACAACTACGCTAAATTATTACAATAAAATTGAATATGCGAATGTATGTAATAACTCTTCTCCACTTTTTATTCGCCGCCACATTTCTCAAGAGAGATTAGCCCTCGGGCATTTTTCCCCAGACTCATCTGTCTTCCCGTCCGGACTTCGTAATGAACGGGGGGGAAAATTGCTTAAAAATCATGGTCTTGTAGCATCATAATAATATCCCCGACGTCGTTTTATTATAAACGCGCTTTTCCCGAAATTCAACGAGCGGTGGGCGAGGGTCGACAAAGATAGCACCTAACAATCTATATCGAGTGCAAGTTAATTGGACCAATGCCGACGTAATCGATAATACGTGGCGATCATATACACTTTGACGGTGGATAGTTTGCACCTGCTGATGTCTTCCCAATGCACACACTGTCGATGACGTTCGATGAACGCTAAGGCGCAGCGACAAGTAGTACAACTCGAGCTTCATGTTCGCTTATCGCAGATGTAACATTGAGCACAACGACGAGCGAGTTACTTTCGTGAAATCTAGAGTACATTTTCAATAGAACTAGAAATAAATATTTGACAATTCCACAATAATTCCGTTTTACGAAAGGTGGCGAAAAATGTCGGCAGTGCTTGTCATAGCAGCCTAAAAAACGCTTTATCAGCAGAGCTTTAATATTTATAAGAGTTAAAAGCGAGTCTCATAAATAATAAAGTGATTTCGCTCTTTATATATCGATTATACTGGAAGCACCTAAACAAAGTTACTCTGCGCGGAGTTATTGTATTTTTGTGTTTTCGTGTACATATTAAAAAAAAAAACGCGAACTGAAAATTGTGAAACTCCGCGCTGCGAGTAAACACGGGTGCCGCGTGTCGTATTTATTTCATAAAAACGCGAGTGCGCGCGAGAGCGTCTGAAGCTACGGAAATAAAATTGATTTAAACGCCGAGCCTGAACGAACGAGTCGGTCGGGCCATGTATTTCGCGAGGCATAAATAAAGTGAAATTGACGGTGCCGCTGAACGAGAGCGAAGACGGCGGCGCCGGAAGGAAGGAAATATTACCCGAAAATCCCAACCCCGCGTTGGTGCGACCAAATGTCTCGACCGTCGAACCGAATTAGCCCACGAAGCCATAGATGGGAAATCAGCGAAATAATTCCACGCGCGCGTCCGGCCGATCGGTCGACGTAATGTCGCGGCTCATGCGTGTAAATTAAATCCAGCCGGATATAACAGCGCGCGGATCGGAGATTGAAATTTTACGAGTGCCGCTTAAGTCGATAATGCTCTAACAGGTCTGCCCCTTTTCACATGGTCGAGCGCTGATAACTCTCACCGCAATTAATACTTCGCGGATTGGTTCCACACGTGGGATTTAAATTCCCGACTGCTGAATCGCGTATGCGCGGTAGTTCTTGGAATTTTCCCGTCTCATTTTCTTCAAAGTAGTAATATCATGTTCCTTCAACGTTTCGCGAAGAGAAAAAAGAAGAAAAATATAGACCCGCGGCAGTTTTGCTAGCGAAGGGTATCAAAATTCATTAAATGCGACATTTCTTGCGACGCAAGTGGAACGGTACCATACAAGTCATCCGAGTATCGACGCAGGGTCTCGATACGTCTTTATGCAACTGTTACTACCACGATACCATGACGAACTATATATACGTGACGTAAATAATGGTACCCTATTTACGCGCGATCATCGATTTTTACGGGACAAGGGGATGAGAGAACCCCGCACGCGTACGCGCGCGCGTTCGCGTAAAACACCGAGGAGTTTGACAAACAGAGCATGTCGGCCGACCCTCCACTACCCGCCTCTTTTCGCGGTTAATGATCCGAGCGATGCGAATTTATTTCCGCGCGCGAATTCTTCGCAAAGTCTATCCCAGATTACGGCGGACTCGGATCGACAGGCGTAACTACTTGTTTCGGAGGCGAGCATTTCGCGTATACCCGACTTGCCATCCGATAACTTTATCATTTTCGGTTAACGACACGGCGAATCGATCCATCTTAATGTCCCACGGGAGAGAACATCCGGCACATCTATTTCTCCTACCCCCTCCCCCCCCCCCCCCCCGAATCGGCCATTACGCGGGGGCCATTATTCAAATGACATGGAACTTAATGCACGAGGAAAATGCAGCCGCCGGTAACATTTGAAATTGTCTCATCCGATGCGATCGTTTCCTTCCGGCTGACGGTTCACCCTTCATCTCGGCTCGTTTACGATAACGTCACGCTCGTCGAGCGTTCGCGCGAACATCGTAATTTAAAGGCGCGACATGAAAGATCGCACGCGTCGGAGACAAAAAGATATTAGAAAGCAGTATTTCTTGTTTTTTTAGCAGTCTTGTTGGGAAAATTTTTTCTTTGCCCCCCCCCCCCCGTACCCTCCCTCTCCCTTTTTATGCCTCGTAAATGTTCTCGTAAATGCCGCCACACGGTGTTTATAGTGCTATTAGCCTTGGCACATAAAGCTCTTTTCTTCAGGGACAAATTACGTGCCGGGAAAATGACTTTCGCAGCCTTCATTATCAAGTCCCCATTTTATCGCCCAGTCGTTAATCCCCGTCTGTTGCATAGAAATATTTCTTGCGTTTCTTCTTGCAGAATGATAAGCACGGTGTTGACGGCACTCATGAAGGAGGGTTTCGACGTCAAGGCCTTAAGGGCGTTTCGCGTTCTGCGTCCTCTCAGGCTGGTTTCCGGTGTTCCAAGTAAGATCTCCCGTTCATAAGCTCGATGTATACGCGATTGAACGACTGCATTCGCATATGAGAGAGAACGTATTAAAAATTAAGGCAAATCCGGACACAATTTACGAGTGAAGCGTTGAGACGAAATCGTAGTTCTTCCGCACAAATATATTTTAGGCATTTAAAGGATTAATCAGAATGATGCGCATAATTGAGATAAAACTTGATTCATTTGCATAGGTCTTCAAGTGGTCCTAAACTCCATTTTGCGGGCGATGGTACCACTTTTGCACATTGCTTTGTTAGTTCTGTTCGTCATTATCATTTACGCCATCATCGGCCTCGAGCTGTTCTCCGGGAAGATGCACAAAACGTGCCGGCACAACATATCCGGTAAGTGTGTGTGTGTAAAGATTTCCCCGATAAACATTTAATAAACGATGCAACAACGTTCCCATGGCAGTCGCGGATCGATGCTCTTAAATTTCTGTTATATCCTGTTATCTTTCTAGGTTTAAGCTCTTCAGAGAAATTCAATTTTAGCTATATTTCTAAACGTTAATTTCCAACTAGTTTATTTGATCGCATCACTAAAAATTAACTATGCATTGCATTTAACGTGTATATTCCGTGTTAAATTCTTTATAAAATTTAAGATTATTGCTTTCTGAAATAAATGTTTATCTTCGAGAGATTCTATAGTGATATATTGTGTGTATAGCCAGTTCATGTGACTTTTCTAAGATAAACTACAGTTTCCGTTTTTCGTATAAAAAAAATAGAATGTTCATTTATAAGACTACGAATTCTCCAGTAATTATGACATCCAAATTACGTCGAGACATTCTGATGCTGGTCTTGATACACAAGAAATTTATCTGCATTTGCTCTTCATCCATTATCCAAGCGGTCGTAAAAAGTTAACGAGATCGGCGATGCGAAAGTCGCGGCACTCATTGAATTATTGAGTGGATATTCCTGAGGGTTGGCTCTTGGTGATTAGAACGAAAAAATCGGACACGATGGAACCGGGGAGGAGGGAAAATCTGGCGAAGACCCCGAGGGGAACTCCCGGCTTAGCCTCGAAACACACTTTCCGCCGGGACGGCTATTTTAGATATGATTCAACCGAGACACGGACGCGAAACTATACTAATTATTATTAGCGCGAGAGGTGCGCGCGCGCGACTTGCTTGCCCCTTGCGCGACGAACAGCTGATTCATAGGAATGCGTAAAATAACGTGTGGATGTTGCCGAGCCCGGGCGATACGAACGCTTTGTGACGGAGAGAAAGCAACGAGAGAGAGAAGAGGTTGCTTTGCAATGCTCTCGCCAAACTTGTTTCTTGTAAAGCTGAAATTCTTTAGCTTTTGGTTTCCCTGTTTACATAAAAAAATCTTCCAAGTTTAATTACAATTAAATGACTAGGAATGATAATTTTATTTATGTTGAAATAATTTGTATTAATTAGTTAATGGTCTTGTTACTTGTGTACGTGCTGTACAATCGTTTTTATGTAGACACACAAGACATTGCAGAGAAGAAAACGTTAATTTCAACAATCAATTAGAATAATTACTTTGTCTAATTAATTTATATTAATTAATCGGTACTTTAGTTGCGCTTTCGATATTTCTCTGCCCTATATTTACGTGCTATTAATAGGCAAGCCAATTAGCTAGCAATTATGTCTATTATTTTAATTTTGATAAGAGACACAGATACAATTTGCTGTGCTGGCGGCGTCAGCCCGATACAATTTAAAGTTTAACAGAGCAACGAGTTTGACAGAGCTTCTTTCTTTAATCGACCTACGTACATTCTTACGGAAAAGCGCGAGACAGAAAGGCCGATAAATCGCCTTAGTGCTAGTGGAGAAAGGTGCTGGTCTCCAACTGCTCTGCATAAAGTATACGTAGAAAAATGTGCAAACATTTGAACGTGTCATTATGATACGTTAAACTCGTTTGCTCAACGACCCGAGCCAATTAGAAGTTTCCGCGTGGAATGCCGACCTTATTCCGCGACCGCCGTTATCCCGCCGGGATTAAAAATTCGATTCCCCTTTATATCGCAGGCGAGATAATGGACGAACCAAAACCATGCGGCCCCGGTGGCTTCCAGTGCTCTCGGGTTGGACCCAACTATCACTGCAGCAAGCTATTCTGGGAGGGCCCTAACTACGGCATCACGAATTTCGACAACTTCGGTCTGGCCATGCTCACGGTCTTCCAATGCATCACTCTCGAGGGTTGGACAGACGTGCTTTATAATGTAAAATCACTGCACGCGTAATCATTCATATAATAATCTAATCAAGTAATAATAACTCAATGGAGAAAAATGCAGATGCTGATAGCATTTTGTATTAATTCGCATTATGTACATTAAATAACTATTAAGAAATCTGAAAGGAATCCTCGGAAATTCTAATTCAGGAGGCCAACACTCAAAATTGAGCTGTAGCGCCATACTATTTTTTAGATACCTTAATTAAGCAGCGACTTTATCCATTTACATTTGTTTTGCAAAACATGTACATATACTGTCGATTTTATTATTTAAATACTAAAAAAAGAGAACAAGCAGAATCCTTCGACAAGCCAAAACTTTACGTGGTTGTGTTTCATCCAGATCGAGGATGCGATGGGAAGTTCGTGGCAGTGGATATACTTCATTTCGATGGTCATCCTTGGGGCTTTCTTCGTCATGAATCTAATTCTCGGTGTGTTGTCCGGGTAAGTGTCGAGAAAAATTTTGTTCTACGGACAGCGTCGCGGAAAAGCTAAATCGAGGATTGCAGTTCTTATTTGATTAATTAAATCTTACGAAATAATAAATCAAATATCATGTACTTAATCTACGTACAGCTGCGATGTTTACCGATACAATGAGATAATAAGCCTTCGAATTTCCGTGACTCCTGAGTGATTGTTTAAGGACCGGTTTAATTCAGTGAAACGGCTTGCGATATCTATCTGTGCGAAGTTCTGCAATCCTTGACGAAGGGGATAGAAGGAGGGAAACGGGATGAAATATAAAAATATCTCTTTCTTAGGTTGATACCTACATATATACACGCACACACTCCGTTGCGTATCGGTAAAGGATGCGCGGCTAATCGAGGCGTGAAAACGGTATCGATGACAAGCGCGATTTAACTTCCTTCCCTTTTTACGTTTTATCCGCCGCTCAACGCCGCGCGCGCAAACACTCTGATTATCGCAAAATGCACGTTTGAAATGCATTTCGAAAACTGCTCGAAGTCAAAATGTCGATGAAACGCTACAAATAGATGTTTCTTACCTCGAGATTCAATTTAAAAAAATCGGATAAAATTAAGTTAAAAACGGACTACGAAATTTTCTGTATAAAAATTCATGTCGGAATGGTATCAAACGTATTATCGAAATGCGCGTTCATGAAAAGACTTTATTCCTAGGATAATTAGATCCTTAGTGGCACGGATCGATTTCGTTCCACTTGCCACATAAAAGAGGAGAGACTATGAACGTCGGAGGAGGAGCGTTTCACTGGATGTTTCCCGATACGAATAGACGTATTTACACCGTCCTCGTTCGAGCGAGATCGAAGAAGCGCGGGCAAATAAAGAAGATCCCTTTTCACACGCGTCTCGATTTCCGTTTCATTGCCTTTGAATGTTCCAATTACGCGTCTTGCGCAGCGTAATCCTCTAATCACAACGCGACACGACCGTACATGCACTTGTCTCGCTTTCGTGCAGTGAATTTTCCAAGGAGAGAGAGAAGGCGAAGGCGCGCGGCGACTTTCACAAGCTCAGGGAGAAGCAGCAGATCGAGGACGATCTCAGGGGTTACCTCGACTGGATAACGCAAGCCGAGGACATCGAGCCGGAAACCGACGAGCCGAAGATGCAAGATGGAAAAAGTACGTATGAAGGTGGAGAACATTTTTCGACGTAAGTGTCAGGGATAAATGTATTCGTTAAAAATAATTGGGAAAAATTTTATGTTGATCTATTGCAAGGAAGATAAAAGTATATGGCAAATATAATTATATACATAATAATCGTGGATAAAAGAGAATTTTGTCTAATTGCGATATGTTTTGTACACGATGCATTTATACATACGATAGATACGTAGGAGTGCGTAAATTAAATTTGAGAAGTTGTTCACACCAAATCCAATTTCGCGTGATGAAACAACTTTCCCTCCCTAGTTGAAGGTTGCTAATTAATTGACTGAGTTTGGACGTTTAATATTACATAGCTAAGCAGCAAAACGAAATAGAGAGCACGGACCAATTGGAGGGTGACGAGGAAGGGATCCAACAAGAGTCCGTTTGGAAGAAGAAGAAGCGGGATTTAGAAAGGTAATCGCGACATTGGAAATCCCCTGCCAGAGTCTCCGGTTTAAAGCCCATAAAGAGTTTAATGTCCATTTTAATAAACGAATACTCTCTCGCGACGATAATCGTCGTAGATATCTCGATGATAGACTCGAGAAAGGTCTTTCTCCGAAATTTCTCCGCGTATTTTATGCGTATTGAGAGATCAAAGCGTCATTTGTCTGACAAACTCAAAGATTCTCTAAGCGTTTGTGTATACGAGCGAGCGTCAAGTTTAAACTACACGGCGCATTGTGATGCGAATATTCGCAGAGTGAACAGGCGGATGCGAAGAGCTTGTAGGAAGGCTGTGAAGTCCCAGGTCTTCTATTGGCTCATCATAGTTCTGGTCTTCTTGAATACCGGTGTTCTCGCCACGGAGCACTACGATCAGCCGCCGTGGTTGGACTACTTTCAAGGTAAATACCGTCACGTCGCTACTCCGCGGAAATAATGTCGAGTTGTCGTATTTGCTTTAATTATAAACTCGTCCCGGCGCCTTCAGTAATACGTTTCATAACGCGAGTTCGCTTCTTTTGCCACCAGAAGTCACGAACATGTTTTTCATCGTGCTGTTCTCCATGGAGATGATGTTAAAAATGTACAGTTTAGGTTTTCAGGTGAGTGACTGCCGCAGCATTTCCCGATTCCTCTCGATATTCGAAATTACGCGAAATTTAATCAACATTGATATCAAATTAGTTTATTATTCATAATTATGTGCATGCTTATTTTGATAAAATGCGAGCATCTCGCCAAAGTATTTGGTAGGTATGAGGTATTTGTTAATTATTAAGTATTGTGCTTTATTCCGCAGGGTTATTTCGTCTCGTTGTTTAATCGTTTCGATTGCTTCGTCGTGATCGGCTCGATCACCGAAATGATACTCACAAATACACGTGTGATGCCGCCTCTTGGCGTTTCCGTACTCCGTTGCGTCCGGTTGCTCAGGGTATTCAAAGTAACGAAGTGAGTAGCCAAATAACTTTCTACAGACGTAATTTACATCCATCAAACTGTGCAAGATTTGGCCATCAATATTTATCGTACAATGTCAGTCGTGGAAAAAATAATTAAATTTGAACGTGTGCGACAAGAGGTGTGAGTGGCGTTATCCTTTTCTTTGCAGATATTGGAGATCACTGTCGAATTTAGTGGCCTCTTTGCTGAACTCGATACAATCGATCGCCTCGCTGTTGCTCCTGCTTTTCCTTTTCATCGTGATCTTCGCTCTTCTGGGCATGCAGGTAGATTCAACGTGAAGCATACGTAACGACGTGACGAACATGCCCTTCAATTTATTCTTACTCTTCGAAATTGATCCTTTAAACACAGGTCTTCGGTGGAAAGTTCAATTTCAGTGACATGGAGGAAAAAACGCGTCACAATTTTGATAGCTTTTGGCAGAGCTTGCTCACCGTATTTCAGGTATCTGATCGTTCCACGAAGGCGGAAACTCGAACGCAATTCTGCAAAATCGCAAAATTACACTCCTGATTTATCAGCAAGTTTGGCTCCGAGATTGATTTGATTTCTTATTTTTGCGTCCCTATTTTTCTCCTCCGTTCTAAAAATAATGTAGTACGCTCGGCTTCTCTGCATCTCCAGATATTAACCGGCGAGGACTGGAACGTTGTGATGTACATCGGAATTCAAGCTTACGGTGGCGTCGCCAGTATCGGCGTGCTCGCCTGTATTTATTTCATTATCCTCTTCATATGCGGCAACTGTATCCTTTATCGAAAAGATGACTCGGCGACGAAGCAATTGTCGCTTGCCTTCTCGCGCAGTGTAATATCGATTCGGTCTGATTTAATAAATTTTAATCGATCCTTGACAAAGATAGCAACGCAGACATTCTCCTGAACGTGTTCTTGGCTATCGCCGTCGACAATCTCGCCGATGCCGAGTCCCTGACTGCCATCGAAAAGGAGGCCGAGGAGGAGGTGAGTTTGATCGTACACACGATAATGAACGTGGATACGTAATGTTCTAGATTGCCGGTGATTTTGAACGTCAGGCATAACGTGAATTTGACATGTACGCAATGTTTCGTTAAATTCGCTTTATTCGCACTGAAATACTATGTCAAGAAAATTATCTTCTCTCTATCTTATCAATAAAGGCTCTCTCGTGTGTCTCATTAGTATAGAAACCTCCCGTAAAAATCCATATTTATAACAATGCTTGCCGTCGTTTGTATAATGATGGACATAATACACATTATTATTCTTGATAGTATCTTGTTTTTCTATGGGATGACATACTTTTCGATCCTTCCATTAAATTGATGAAGAAATATAATTGTATGCTGTCTCGATATAAGAAGGACCTTGACACAAAAGAACGTGGAATAAATTTGAGTACGCGTCATCGCCTTTCTGTGAGAACTGTAGAATTACGTAACTGTGTTGAACGAGCCGTTTCTTCCGGATTTTCATAAACGATCAGGCTAATTCGACCGCACGGTTTCTCGAGAGAAACGCGTCTTTACGTCGCGTGCAAAGCATTTGCGACAAGTGGATAATACGATGTCGCATTACGGACAATGCGAGCCCGCTCGAATGAATCTGAAGACCGGTGACGACAAGACGTACGTCGCCTATCACGAGTGAGAGTAAATGTACGTCGCGTTTAACGCTCGTGCGTATAAAAAGGACTGTTCTATATACGATAATTTTCTTTCTTGATCCGGTCGAGATTTTGTCACGTCAACTTAATCCCAACACTATTTATCAGCCGAGAAACAATTCATAATTAGAAATAGCTTAATAATGTTGAAAGTCAAACGCAGTGTCCTAGAATTGTATTTATTTTTAACAACGGATAACTTCGTCAATGTCAAGCTCCAATTTTACCCTGAGCTAAAATTGATCTAAATTGACGTGGGACCAGTCAAATTATTACGAGCGTTATACAGAGATTGGAGAATTGCCTGTGTAACATCAGGCTTCCCTCATCGAATGTGCAGCCGTTGCAATTCACGAAGTTACGCGACGCGAGCAACGCAATTTTACTCGTAAGGTAGTTTAAAACCGCAACAGCGAAGTTCGAAAGCTGATTAATCACGCTTGTGGATAACGACCAAACAACATTGGGGAAAAACTGTTGATTGCATGGCGAAAATTATGACCGCGTAAAGTTTCAGGTACGCGTTCCTTAACGTACGATGCGCGCCCCGTTCATTAATTAATAATGCGTTATACATCTCGGTGTGTGATCTAATACGCAATTTCTAAGTATTTCTTCTAGTTTTTACGTATCAAGTAGTCTTTTACACAATTGTCACACAGAGAAATATATAATTTCTCTTAACATTCCGTTCTCTTTTTAACAATAAAAACGGAATAAGAGAGACGTATGGAATTGAAGTTTGAATCGAGTATACGGATCGTGCTATTGTTTACCAACGGCGCTTTTATAAGTAGTAAAAGAAGTTTGTAGCCTCGGTGCAACGCGAGCTGCACTTTTAAGTCACAATCAGATCAGTGGCAATAAAAAAGGTTTATAGCTTTTTCTCTCTTTCACATCGAACTTTTTACTGTCAATATTCATATCATGTTCGTTTTACAACGCATAGAAAGTGACACTGATGAATTCCTCGTAAACAATGGACAAGTTTTACCTCATACAGGGATATTAATGAGATATAATTGACTCGAGAATTTGGCGCTATGATAATAATAAATCAAATATTTGTGTATGTACTTTATGTTAATATTTGCGGACGCGTGCGTTATCGATTCATAGGAAGAGCTTTGCGTAATAATGATATTAACCGTCAGAGAATATACACCGAAGAATTTAATTAGTCCGAGAAACAAATAATATTATTTAACGCAAACGCGCACTTCGACGTAATTTTTCGAATTCTTTAATTAATTCGGCAGATTATTATTTTTTAAATCATACAGCATTATATTTGGAATGCAGAGATCATTGAAGTAAATTTCATCGATTAAACCAAGCATATGGATTTCATTTTTACTATTATATAAGTAATATATTTTTCTTCTTTCAATAAATATTATTCTATCCTCGGATATTTTCTTCCCGGTGTTGTATTTTACCGAGTTATTTTCTATACGAAATTGTTGCTGCTGATTACGTAATCGACTACTGTCTTTGACCAAATCACTCGGCAGATAACTACCCTTCTCTATCCCTGCAGGCAGAAAAAAATAAGTCTCGCAGCGGCTCGCCGGCAAGGGACGAAATCAGTGGTGAAGCTGGCGATGACGGTGGCGAAGGGACCGGAGGAGAGGAGGAGGATGAGGGCGCCGGCACAGATCTCGAACACGATCCTAACGAGACAATGGAGGACTACGAAGCCGCACTCGATACCGAAACGTAAGCCCTCTCTCATAACGCAGTAGAAATTGCAACGATGTGCGCTGTCACATTAACGAGAGGAGAGCATTATTACGCGTACCCCTTCTTATGCAATATTATTATTATCTGTAAGCTCGAGGGGATTCGTAGGAATCGATAATCTCGGTTCAGGAATTAAGGTTACGCAGCAGAACTAAGGGCAATCGTGATACGTGTTTGTACTTCTACCAATTTTATCTTTTAATTTCACATCGATTTCGCTAGAAAGTTTAATGCACTCAATTGTTATTTAATATTTATCAAATACTACATTTTCGTAAAGATAATTGAAGACATTTATCTTCTTCCTTGGAGGATATATTGAGAAAAATGTAGTGTCTTTTATTTAAACGAATACTTTTCCATGTTCCATAGATCTTTAAAGAATTTACGTTGGCGAACCACACACACACACACGCAAAACCACAAAAAGATATCTACTTTACAAAAATAAATGTAGAACGTATGTAATATATGTCGAGTAATTATCGCTAATTATGCAGGTCAGAAAAAAGTGAGGATATGAATACGCATAGAGTGCGACTTAACGTTGAGTCTGATGAAGAAGAAGTGGAGGAGGAGGAAGAAGAGGAAGAAGGTGAGCCAGGAGAAATACAAGGTACGTTAGTTAATTCTGACTTTCTTGTGCGTTTCGGGAATTATTATATAATATGTATATATATTATATATAATATTATATTTATATATAAATAGCTGGAATAAAATCATTCCTTATTCATCCAGTTGTTTATGAGACCCCGATATTTGCATTGCAAGAGTTGAGGCGAGCAAAATAAAATTCGGTACAGTAAAAACAGGAAAAGAGATTAATTTCTTTTGCAGATGACGACCAGGAAGTGACGGCTAGACCGCGAAGAATGTCCGAATACAACATGACCTCCAAGAAGGAACCGATCCCGGATGGTTCGGCATTCTTTATTTTTTCAAGCACTAATAGGTACAGAGGCTTTTTAAAAAACTTTATTCCAGCTTCGCCAAGATAAAAGATGAAAGATAGTTCGATGAAACTTTCCCCCCTTTCATCTCACGGTTATCTCTTTAGCAGATGCCACTCTAAATCATATTCCTTTCAATCACGGTTCGCAGGTTTCGCGTGTTCTGCCATTGGTTCTGCAATCACAGTTACTTCACCAACGTGATACTGGTTTGCATTATGATTTCTTCCGCCATGTTGGCCGCCGAGGACCCACTAAAAGCCTCGTCGTATAGAAATCAGGTATCCGATCGCACCGAAAGACGAGTCGATTTTTCAGCTATGCCGTAAAAATATTCCGTTTTATCGGGATTTGAACGAAATCTCTGTTTAAGATAGTTAATGCGATAACTTTGCGCTTTGTTACAGATACTCAACTACTTTGACTATTTTTTCACTACTGTTTTCACGATTGAAATCTGCCTCAAAATGGTCTCGTACGGCTTCATCATCCACGAGGGCGCGTTTTGCCGATCGGCTTTCAATCTGCTTGATCTTCTCGTCGTTTGCGCTTCTCTCGCTTCCATGATAATCAGGTATAATTTTTATTACTTATATTATTATTGCTTACTAATTGATGTTCTCACATACTCTAGTCTCTTATGAAAATAGTAAAAGAACAAAACTGTTCTTTCACAATTTCTTAAAATTAATTACAATTGTAATCGTGCAATTTTTCATTGTGCAAAAAGAACGCAACTGGCGTCATTCAATTCCAAGGCAGAGTTTAAAAGAAAAGCTTGATTGCCTGAAAGATTGCTTCAGAAGTATTTTTTTTGTTATATCTGACTTGCTTTGTATTGACGCTGTTATTTATTGTATACTTGCAGCACTGGCACATTCTCTTTCATCAAAGTGCTCCGAGTGCTCCGTGTACTGAGGCCGCTGCGTGCCATCAATCGCGCTAAGGGATTAAAGGTATCTCTTTCATTTGTCTCAGCTATTTCTAAGTCCGCTAAAACCGGCCCAATTCACGCCCTACCGTAGTACGTAATAATAACGCCAGAGGTATAATATACCGTAATGTATACACAGCTAGCTAGATTACAGAGTCGCTCTCGTTAGTTCGACGTTGATCGCCATGCGTACGCGAAATTGCAATTATTCATAGAAATGGTGGAAGAGCGCCGAGTTAACTTCGGAAAAAAGTCATATTAACGGTGAAAAATGAGGTATTTCATCCCCGTATACGTACCGAGAATTCTTGTTACGCGAGAGTCAACGCGCGACAACGGTCGCTACGCGAGAATTTATTTACCGAGATCGATAAAGTATTCGATACTTTCCTGGTCAATATTACGGCAACGATACCTCCATAGAGTTCTCCATATATTGTGAAGATATATCGAAAGGCATACTTCTAGCTTTAATTAAGAAAACTCGTCTCGAACACTTGTCTTAACGAAATCCAGATTCTGCTGGCTCTGCACGAAGAGACCGCTTTCGCGATTCGAGGAAGCCACTCGAATTTGACGGCGACAAAATGCGTGTTAAAGATCGCATGCGAACGAAATGAGCATTAACTTGATTTCGGCGCGGCGCGCGTAATTTACATCTGTCTATCACGAAGGGCGAATATATATTGTGATTAATATTGTGAACCCAGCACGTAGTACAGTGCGTCATCGTAGCGGTAAAGACTATCGGAAACATAGTCCTCGTCACCAGCCTCCTGCAGTTCGTGTTCGCCGTCATTGGCGTACAGCTCTTTAAGGTAGGATTATCGGGCCCCGATACAGACACGGCCCCGAGAAAACTATCTTCCGAACCTCTTATAATATACACTACAGTGGCATAATATATTACCAGTCGATACCCCACGAACACCTTAAAAGAAACCCTCTTAAAATAGCCTTAAATCTACCCTCTCTTTCTCTCTCTCTCTCTCTCTCTCTCTCTCTCTCTCTCTCTCTCACTCTCTCTTTCGCTCTTTTTCAAGATCCATCTTCAGCATTTGTTCATTCATTTATCCACACGTTTCTTAACGCAATCAGAAATTTTATTCACCATCACCAAATTCATTACGACTACTGTCTATCATAGTACGACTTTGCCCGACATCTCGGCAGCTTCTTCGACGATTATTTCCGCCTTGCTGCAAAAAAAATACGCAATCGTATCTAAAGATCGCGGTTAATTTAGAAATGATTAAATCCGCGGGACTTCTCGTCGTGATTCTGATGGAAAATCGCAACTGGGAAGGATTTTCCTGTTTTTCGAGAAAATATCAATCAAATCTGACGTATACTGTTGCTTTATAATTAGATTAAATCTTTTCATCATCGATAATCACGTCTTCTCCATATCAAGTCCCTGCACCGCTCCTTGGGTTTTGCAGATTTTTATCACAGATTTTTAAACACACGCACGAGACTTTTATCACCGTTTTGCGCACTCGATACACATGTGTGAATACTTTGAATAAGTTTCATCAATGACTATCGCAGAAAGCTTTCGTAGAAAATCCACATCGCTACTAGTATCGATATGGATCCGCTGGCTCGCAGGAATAAAGCGGAGCAAAGTTGCGGAATTAACGAACGCATGGAGGGGTCTAATTAAGGGAACCGTCTATGTCTCAATCTTCGACAACGGTCGATGCGCGCCCGCGCGGCACGTGGAAAATAATCGTCGAGGAGCGCGAGCACGAGGCGAATGTTTTCTCTGACAGATGCACCTCTGGGTACCTCACCAGTGAAATAAGCTGTCTTTTGCGTCTAACTTACTCACTTAATTGAGTTTCTTGTCTCGACACTCTCCCCGAAACCTCTCACTAGGACTACGATTGTGTTCCTTGTTCTCACGGTATATAAGATTTTTTATGTCTAAGCGCCCCATATTTACCGAAGGTTGACCGTTTGCCTCTGATAATAAATCGATTTTACATCGACGTAGTTCACACCGAGTTTGGATTGTTTATTTTACCATTATATTATGTTACTTCTTCAAATTATATATTTATGTAGATTGAAATCGATGGCCATTTGAAATTGTTAGAAAATCTTTTAAGCGTGTGACCGTAGGAGAGAAAAGATAATTTTTTATTGATAGAAAGTGTATATATCGCGCGTGCGATGAAATTCCTCTTGATGTAGATTATCATAATTTTGAATAATCAGTTTTATTGAATTTAATTTTGCTGGATGAAGCATACATAGCCCGAGGCTGGACTAAATACTTTAAAGCTTTAGGCAAGCGCGTGAGTGAATTTTATTTAGAAGTTATCCGACAGGCTCCATCGAGTCAACAAGATTATTTACGCAGTATTATACCACGTTTATGTTTAAATAATAGAAATGCAGAAACGCATCTCTCTTTCTCTCTTCTCGCTTTCTTTCTCTCGGGTCTGGTGTGAAAACAGTTCTGTCAGTGGTAGTTTCCACGTACCGATGTTTAACTAAGTGGAATATAATATATCGTTTCCTTGACTATATAGCATGATTCTATAATCTTAAATCGCGACAAAATTATTTCAACTTACGTGCATGTTGTTTCAATATATTGAACAAAGTTTACAGAAGCTACAGTGACATTAAAATTGAATCATCAATTCTATTTGTCGATAGCTTTAGCGAGAAAAAGGCCACTGCTATTATTTCATAAAAAGTAAAAAAAAGAAACAGAAAAACAAATACCGTTTTGCCAAACTGTTATCCACAAAAATGAAAGCAATTCGAGAAATATTGCACTTCGTTGCGATTTTTTAAACATATGTGAATGTACGTGATTTTATTTAGAGCTATAAAAGAAACAGCCATTTTGTTATTGATATACGATACGATTTTTCGGCACAAATTTTCTTTCATACATTTCTTTGTCGTTTCAACATTGACTTATTTGATTCGATATATTTCTAGTGCTTTCAGAACCCAATAACGTTCAATCTAGACGTGTAGTTGGTTTAAAGTATTTTAATGTTTCAACAATTACTCTACGTTTTAAAAAGAAAGACTTACATGCGTAATGAAACTAATTTTAGCAACAATAAATAGTTTATACAGCGATTTATTATTAAGAAGAGAAAAAACCTGGGATGTATAAAGATACAAGGTCAAATAAATTAAAATTCTTGAATAAAATTGATAGTAATGTTTCAATAGAAAAATTAGCTGTAATTTTAATATTTCTCCAATGACTATTAACTAATTGGTTGAACACATTTTAACAGTTTTATAATTTTAATAATTATATTATCACATTTTGAAAGATCGCGCAGTATTATTCCATTTACCCAATGGTTTTAATTACTCTTACTAGTAATTGTATATGCATATATAGTGGACGAGTGACCGGGGGGAGATGAGACGGTGGCTCAAAAGCAGATTGGGGATAGTCGAGTGTAAATAAAAAAGAAATGAGAAAGGAAAAGCGGCTTTACGCAAGACTAAACATGTCTTTGCTCTTTCGGCATTGGTTTTCGTTTCTTCGTTTTTTTACCTCCTTTAGCTGAACACCTACGATATACCTGTTTTATATATTATCTCTCTTTCTCTCTTTCTCTCTCTCTCTTCTTTTCGTCATCATGAGACTTTTTGCTGCTCGAGACTTGATAGACTACATCGCTGCTCAGAGACGACACGAAACAGTCACGCAACACACGCACAAATCCAGTGAATAAAAAATGTTGGAACTTTTCTTTTTCTTTTGTGAAGTACTGTATAAGACATTCCTCGTTTCGGCTTAATTTCTAAACTTTCTTAAATTTTTAAAGAAGAAAAATGGTCTAGTGATCACGCCTCGTGCGATTTTTTTTCTTTCGAAAGTTGAAGAAAGCCATTAAAAATGTCGATTCGACGATATGGATGAGACAAATTTCAAACCGAAGTGTCTTAAATAATATTGCATAAGTAGTTCTCTCTTTTCTCAAAAGTTCTCTAAGAATAGCATTGAAAGTGAATTATGTTTACAGACAGCTCGGGAATTTTTTCATTCTTATCTCGTAATATTTACTTGAAGAGATTAATCTTATGTAAAAAAAGAGAGATTATATAAATTTATGGCTTATAATACGCTGAGAACACGAATATATTTTTTGACACACTAAGAGGCAGATGGGCACATTAAAAATCGCGGTAAAATTATCAAATTAAGTAAAAACAAAAAGTTTACACGTGTCATATATCTAAAATATTGTTCTTTTCCTCTGAAATACTTCTTTTCGTATATATAGAACAATATAAATTTAGATCTTTATAAAACGTATTACTATATAACGTAAACGAAGGGAATCTGTCTATAAAAATATATGGCTATTTTTATGATTATCCAAGGCAATCCTTCAACGTTGTTCGAGCCGGCCTTCCCAAATACACGCATATAACTCCCAGAAATAACCGCCCTCCCACACACACACACACACACATATACTCACATCTACGCAAGATACAAGTAGGCCTCCAAAAGTATACTAATCCCTTTGATTTTATATTTTTACACGCACACACCTACCCACCCATCAAAAAGAAATTAAAAACAGACTCACGCAGACTTCGTGATTTTAAGACTGGTAGTAGAGGATGTTTGAGAATTGCATGCTTGTGCCGGCTAAGCATTGCAGTGGTGTGCCGCTATATTAACATGAGAGAGAAAGGTGGAGGAGAAGAGGAAAAGGGCATTGTTTTCTCATAAGCTCCACTCGCCGCGGGACTTCGCCGTCGGACAATCGAAAAGGGAAAAGATCACGAAAAGCGGTCCCTACACGCGCGCACAGACCCATAATTGCTGCAAAAGGAAGCACCACGGCAATTTCCTTCTCCGTCCGTTTTCATAGGCTTGGAGATCGTCGATCTCGATCGTCCCATTTTATCTCGTGATTTTATTTCGTTGTCGACTAAACATAAAATGTTACGAGTCGCAAGACATTTCGCCATTAGAACGATAGAAAAACAGAGAAATTCGGAATAATATCAATGCAGGCAATGGACTATTGTGCGCTTTTAAATTTGTAGAAATCAAGAGCGAAATTTAAATTTCTGGAATTGATATTAAATAAAAAAGCTTCGGCTGTTGTCAACTGTTGACGGGGCAATCGAGATCGATAAAAATAGGAAATTCGGGTGAAATCGGATAAACTTGCTTATTAGGCGAGCTCGATGGAAGCGGCTAGGCGAATCAATGTCGGTCAGGCTAAATCAGGCGTTGCAAATCGAATTTAATTGCATTTAATTTTATATACCGCGGGACTCCTACGACCATCGTTCTGCAATCGTGTTGATCCTTTATCGAACTTGCTCGCTTCTTCTTGCGAAGTTCTACAAGTACTATTAATTTTCCAACCAGAGTCTCTGCAGAGCTTAAACACTCACGAACAAGAGTATCGATGCTTCGTAAGAGATATTAAGGTTCTCCGATAAAGGACTCGATAAAGGATACAATCTTTCGCCGTTAAATATACGATCGACAGGATAATGCAGAAAGATAATGTTCGCGTAACTGATCGAGGTTATCGGAATGTGGAATTCGGCGCTTACTAGTACGATAAAGGAAGATATAGACTAATATAGAAGATTGTAGAATAGTTGAAATTCTCTAGACTATCTTTGTATTAGTTTGTTCTGATTATTAATCTTAAGCGGAGACAAGTCGTTCAGCCCGACATTACATCTATCTATCTATCTACCTATCTATATATATATACATATATCTATCTCTCTATCTCTCTATCTATATCTATATACATATGTATATTTCTCTCTCTCTTCTCTATATATATAT